TGAAAGCTAAATGATTGCAAAATTTCAAATTTAACATTTTCTTGCACCTATTTTTATTTTAAAATAACTTAAAATTTTTGTTTTGCTAGATTTTTGTAGCTTAATTTAATTAAATAAGCTTTACCGATTGATATATTTCTCGAGAAAAATTTTTATAATTTTTGCAATCTGATATAAAAATTTGACTTTAGTGATAAATTTATAATTGATATAAACTGTTATCATATCTCTACTAGCCAAGCCAATAAGTGTTAAATTTTTCATCTAATGTTACCTAAGTTTCAAAAGCAGAATTTTATATTTATATTTTTAGCTTAAATTATATTTTTGTCAAATTAATTTTTCATTTAATTAAGAAAAGTTTATTATTTAAAAAAATTCCATTCAGTTTTAATAGTTTCAAATAATTACAGCTATCAGTTTTACGTAATTTATGCATATTTTAACAATTTCAGCAGTTTTATGCTTATATTTGAATTTATAATTTTAATTTTGCGCTCAAATCTTTTTTAGAATAATTGATTCGTGATAATATGAAGTTATTATCAGAACTATATTTGATAACTTTTAAAAATAACTAATTAATTGATAATTAGTAAAACTGCTATAGAATCCTAATTATTATTGATTAAATCTATTAGATTCAAAACATTTGCTGTTAAACTGAATGAAATTATGAGAAATTTAATATAATTTTTTTTTTTTTTTTTTTCATTAAATCATTAAATGATCAATGCCGCATTCTTTAAAAGCATTAATTGATTCAACTGATTTAATCAATATTATCAAATCAGTGTAAATAATTTACCAATATTATCATATCACAATATCAATGTAATTTAAGTAGATTAAGGATATTAAATGTTAAATTATTTTTATAATATCAATATTCTATCAGTTATAATCAGTGTGACATTTTTGTGACAATTTCTCCTTTCCTAAATTCATTTGCATTCAAATGAAAGCACTTTTAATGATTTGTTAATTTATCAATTTTTTTTTTCTTAAACGCTCTTACGCTGATCACACAGCTAATTGATAAATAACACATTTCAATTGTTTAGCTGATAAGATATATCAAAATGAACTTTTATAAGATTGATCTGAACATCTTAGCTAAATCATTCATTTATTTTCAAATTAATTTTTATTATCATAAACAACCAACAATTTAATTCTATTAATTTCATTCTTTGTCTTTCACAGTTTTTTTCCTAAAATTTAATCATTTCCCATCCATTAAATCAATTAATCTATTTGATAATAATAAATCAATCTTATGTGCAACAAATAATTCTTTTTTTTTTTTTATCTCATAAATCGATTTGAAAATTGATTTATTATTATCAGTGTGTTTCAATCAGTTACAAAAGTGACAAAAAATATTCACAAACATTTCAAATTTTTCCGACTTAAAATTTTCAAAATAATTTTTATCACTTGCTTAATTTAAAAAAAAAAAAAAAAAAAAAAAAACTTATTTTCTTACATATTTTATCAATTCATAAAATTTCAAATTTTCATAAGAACTTTTTTTTTGAAAAAAGAAAGAAAAGAAGATGTATAACTGTATTATAATGTAATTTCATATCACAAAAATTATCCTATTATAATGAAAAAATCAAATGAAATAATATATCATTGACATATAAATAGCAAACAAAATTAATTATCATATTAAATTAAAATTTGAAATTAGGAAAAAGAGAACAATTCATTTTATTAGTTATGTCACATTACTTTTATACAATTATTTCAATCAATACAAAAGTTTTTTTTTAGTTTGATTCCATTTCAATCAACATATATAATAGTTTGATTCCATTTCAACATATATCATATTCGATACATTTATTTATTTTATAATTATTATACTTCCCAGAACAATTTTCCCAAAAAAACTTCAGCTAGAAAATCAAAATTTATTACTTTTTCTAAAATATTTGAGCTATTATACAAGATAAACAATATTACATTCCAAATATTCTAAATTAAATAATACCAAATAGATATCCTTAAACATGCTAGAATTCCACATGCTAGAATAAATTTAAATAAAGCATAACCATTTAAATATCACCAAAAAAAAAAGTATAGTAATTTAAGTAGACAAATTTTGAAAAAAAAAAAAAAAAAAAAAAGGTATGACATATATTAGTAGTTAAATTTGAAAGGTAGCAATAATAACAATAACAGTAACAATATTTACCAAATTCTTTGAAACTTTAAAAGAAAATTAGTTTTTCTTAAAAAGAAAAATATTTTTCAATTTCATTAATTTTATTACTTTTTCTAAAATATTTGAGCTATTATACAAGATAAACAATATTACATTCCAAATATTCTAAATTAAATAATACCAAATAAATATCCTTAAACATGCTAGAATTCCACATGCTAGAATAAATTTAAATAAAGCATAACCATTTAAATATCACCAAAAAAAAAGTATAGTAATTTAAGTAGACAAATTTTGAAAAAAAAAAAAGAAAAAAGGTATGACATATATTAGTAGTTAAATTTGAAAGGTAGCAATAATAACAATAACAGTAACAATATTTACCAAATTCTTTGAAACTTTAAAAGAAAATTAGTTTTTCTTAAAAAGAAAAAAATATTTTTCAATTTCATTAATTTCATCATTTTTAAATGAATATTTTTTGTTTCGCTGATTTTTTTTAACTAATCTAATTTAGGTACTAAATAGTTTAATTGATTCTTTTATTCTATATTATATTGCAACTAAAAAATAAAAAATTATTTCATAATTTAATTTAATCACTGAGTTATTCAATTTATTATCATCAAAACAGATAGCAAACATGATTTTTTTTTTTTTGTAATTTTAGGTTTTTTTCTTTTTTTCTTTCCTATCATATTTTTGTTCTCATTTTTTTTTTTTTTTTGTTAAGCAAGAAAAAAAGACATAAAAATTCAATGAAATACCATACGGAAATTACATTTAAAAAAAAAAATTATTGATCATAAAACTTTCAATAGCCTTTGCAATTTTAACTTTTTATTTTGTTTTTGTCCTTTTATCTCTTTCTTTTCTGGTCGTTTTAATTCTAGAAAAATTCATTCAGAAATTTATTCAGCCCTCATCGCTCCGCTACCACCCCGCGCCTACAGGCCACGCCTTCGTCGCCCCGCCCCTAATACGCTTGCTTGACCACGCCCTTTTCGCCCCGCCTCCGCCACGCCCGCATGGCCACGCCCCTTTTCGTCCCGCCCCCGCCATTACTGCACCTCTTATCACTGTACCTCTTATCACTGTACCTCTTATCACCGTACCTCTTATCACTGTACCTCTTATCACTGCACCTCTTATCACTGTACCTCTTATCACTGCACCTCTTATCACTGTACCTCTTATCACTGCACCTCTTATCACTGTACCTCTTATCACTGCACCTCTTATCACTGTACCTCTTATCACTGCACCTCTTATCACTGTACCTCTTATCACTGCACCTCTTATCACTGTACCTCTTATCACTGCACCTCTTATCACTGTACCTCTTATCACTGCACCTCTTATCACTGTACCTCTTATCACTGTACCTCTTATCACTGTACCTCTTATCACTGTACCTCTTGGTACCGTACCTCTTGTTACCGCACCTTTTGGTACCGTACCTCTTGGTACCGTACCTTATGGTACCGTACTTTTTGTTATTACCTCTTGTTACCGTACCTTTTATCACCGTACCTCTTGGTACCGTACCTTTATCACCGTACCTCTTGGTACCGTACCTTTTGGTACCGTACCTCTTGTTACCGTACCTTGGTACCGTACCTCTTGTTACCGTACCTTTTGGTACCGTACCTCTTGGTACCGTACCTTTATCACCGTACCTCTTGGTACCGTATTTTTGTTATTGTATCTTTTGGTACCGTATCTTTTGTTGATGTACCTCTTGTTACCGTACTTTTTATCACTGTATCTCTTGGTACCGTACCTCTTATCACTGTACCTCTTGGTACCGTACTTTTTGTTATTGTACCTCTTGTTACCGTACCTCTTGGTACCGAACCTCTTGTTACCGCACCTTTTGGTACCGTACCTCTTGGTACCGTACCTTTTATCACCGTACCTCTTGTAACCGTACTTTTGATCACTGTACCTCTTGGTACCGTACTTTTTGTTATTGTACCTCGTGGTACCGTATCTTTTATTACTGTACCTCTTATCACTGTACCTCTTGGTACCGTACTTTTTGTTATTGTACCTCTTGTTACCGTACCTTTTAGTACCGTACCTCTTGGTACCGTACCTTTTATCACCGTACCTCTTGGTACCGACTTTTTGTTATTGTACCTCTTGTTACCGTACCTTTTGGTACCGTACCTCTTGGTACCGTACTTTTATCACCGTACCTCTTGGTACCGTACCTTTTATCACCGTACCTCTTGGTACCGTAATTTTTGTTATTGTATCTTTTAGTACCGTATCTTTTGTTAATGTACCTCTTGTTACCGTAACCTTTTATTATTCTACTTGGTACCGTACTTTTGTTATTGTACTCGTGGTACCGTATCTTTTATTACTGTACCTCTTGGTACCGTACCTCTTGTTACCGTACTTTTATCACTGTATCTCTTGGTACCGTACCTCTTATCACTGTACCTCTTGGTACCGTACTTTTGTTATTGTACCTCTTGTTACCGTACCTCTTGGTACCGAACCTCTTGTTACCGTACCTTTTGGTACCATATCTTTTGTTGTGGTGATGGAGTACGGTACCAAGAGATACAGTGATAAAAGTACAACTTGAGTACGGTACCAAGAATTTGTGTAAGATACGGTACCACGAACCCGTGATAAAAAGGTACGGTACCAAAAGGTACGACAAGATTTTCTTTTGTAAAAGTACGGTTTCAAGAAGTACGGTGATAAGGTACGGTACCAAAGGTACGGTACCAAGACACGATACCAAGGTACGGTAACAGAGGTACAATGTAACAAAAGTACGGTACCAAGAGGTACAGTATAAGAATTACGGATACCAAGTACGGTACAATAAAGGTACGGTACAAGGTACGGTACCAAAGGTACGGTAACAAGGTACGGACCAAAAGGTACGGTAACAAAGGGTACACAGGTACCAGGTTTGGTACCAGAGGTACGGTGATAAAAGGTACGGTAACAAGAGTACAATAAGTACGGTACCAAGAGGTACGGTATAAGGTGCGGTGGTACAAGAATTACGGTACCAAAAGGTACGGTACCAGAGTACGGTGATAAAAGGTACAGTGATAAGAGGTACAGTGATAGAGGTACAGTGATAAAGGTACAGTATTAGAGGTACAGTGATAAGAGGTACAGTGATAAGGTACAGTGATAGAAGGTACAGTGATAAGAGGTACAGTGATAAGAGGTGCAGTGATAAGAGGTACGTGATAGGGTGCAGTGATACAGTGATGAGTGCAGTGATAAGAGGCGGTGATAAGGTACAGTGATAAGAGGTGCAGTGATAAGAGGATGATAAGAAGACGGTGATAGAAGTGATGATAGAAGGTGTGATACAGTGATAAGAGGTGATGATAAGAGGTACAGTGATAAGAGGTACAGTGATAAGAGGTGATAAGAGTACGGTGAATAAGAGGTACAGTGATAAGAGGTGCAGTGATAAGAGGTAGTGATAAGAGGTACAGTGATAAGAGGTGCAGTAATGGCGGGGGCGGGACGAAAGGGGCGTGGCCATGCGGGCGTGGCGGAGGCGGGGCGAAAAGGGCGTGGTCAAGCAAGCGTATTAGGGGCGGGGCGACGAAGGCGTGGCCTGTAGGCGCGGGGGTGGTAGCGGAGCGATGAGGGCTGAATAAATTTCTGAATGAATTTTTCTAGAATTAAAACGACCAGAAAAGAAAGAGATAAAAGGACAAAAACAAAATAAAAAGTTAAAATTGCAAAGGCTATTGAAAGTTTTATGATCAATAATTTTTTTTAAATGAATTTCCGTATGGTATTTCATTGAATTTTTATGTCTTTTTTTCTTGCTTAACAAAAAAAAAAAAAAAAAAATGAGAACAAAAATATGATAGGAAAGAAAGAAAAAAAACCTAAAATTACAAAAAAAAAAATCATGTTTGCTATCTGTTTTGATGATAATAAATTGAATAACTCAGTGATTAAATTAAATTATGAAATAATTTTTTTTTTAGTTGCAATATAATATAGAATAAAAGAATCAATTAAACTATTTAGTACCTAAATTAGATTAGTTAAAAAAATCAGCGAAACAAAAAATATTCATTTAAAAATGATGAAATTAATGAAATTGAAAAAATATTTTTCTTTTTAAGAAAAACTAATTTTCTTTTAAAGTTTCAAAGAATTTGGTAAATATTGTTACTGTTATTGTTATTATTGCTACCTTTCAAATTTAACTACTAATATATGTCATACCTTTTTTTTCTTTTTTTTTTTCAAAATTTGTCTACTTAAATTACTATACTTTTTTTGGTGATATTTAAATGGTTATGCTTTATTTAAATTTATTCTAGCATGTGGAATTCTAGCATGTTTAAGGACATCTATTTGCTAATATTTAATTTAGAATATTTGGAATGTAATATTGTTTATCTTGCATTGTATAATAGCTCAAATATTTTAGAAAAAGTAATAAAGTAAAAATTAGTAAAAAAAAAAAGTAAAAAATTATGTTACTTATAAATTTAGTCATTGCTATTTTCAATTATTAGCAATATTTGATTCTTGAATTTGCAATTCAATTTTAAGTAATCGAATATTAGCTCATATTTCAGATAATATATGCTAATCAATGGCAATCAATGCAACTAATAAATGATCAAAAAGCAATTCATTTTCGTCCTTTTTTTCTTTACATTTAGGAAAATTATCATTGAATAATAATCAGTTCAAAAAAAAAAAAAAGCATTGATCATAGCTAATTGATCAAAATAACTGCAATCATTTAGAATCAAATCACGATCATTTTAGACAAATCAAAAAATGATTGTTTTAACTATCCAATAAAGCTAATAACAATTTTGTGGACAAATGTTCAATTATTTGACAAAATTTTCTTTGTCGCAAAAAAAAAAAAAAAAAAAAAACTAATCATAAAATAACAATTGAACACTGAAAATAAATTGATAATTAATAATAATAATTAAATTTTTCTTATAAAATTCCTCGAGTATGAAATAACAAATTTTGTCACTTATATTTTTTTTTTTTAAATCCTGAAATTGGTAATAGTTGTAGTTCCTTCAAAATTTGAGAAATTTTGAAAAAGCAAAGATTATTTGTTATAAAAATGAGCAAATTTCAAAACATATTTATAATTAATTTCAGGATAAAAATCCTATCAAGAATTTACATGTGGTTTGAATTTATAATCTTTTCAATTTTAATACCAATAATTTTTGAAATAGTTTTTAATATTACTTTAATTAAAAAAAATTTATTAAGTATTACTTTAATCAAAATCAAAAAATTGATTATATATTACTTTAATTTATTATATATTACTTTAATCAAAATCAAAAAGTTTAGCAATTAAGCTTACATATTACCTTCATGCTGAAAGCTAAATGATTGCAAAATTTCAAATTTAACATTTTCTTACACCTATTTTTATTTTAAAATAACTTAAAATTTTTGTTTTGCTAGATTTTTGTAGCTTAATTTAATTAAATAAGCTTTACCGATTGATATATTTCTCGAGAAAAATTTTTATAATTTTTGCAATCTGATATAAAAATTTGACTTTAGTGATAAATTTATAATTGATATAAACTGTTATCATATCTCTACTAGCCAAGCCAATAAGTGTTAAATTTTTCATCTAATGTTACCTAAGTTTCAAAAGCAGAATTTTATATTTATATTTTTAGCTTAAATTATATTTTTGTCAAATTAATTTTTCATTTAATTAAGAAAAGTTTATTATTTAAAAAAATTCCATTCAGTTTTAATAGTTTCAAATAATTACAGCTATCAGTTTTACGTAATTTATGCATATTTTAACAATTTCAGCAGTTTTATGCTTATATTTGAATTTATAATTTTAATTTTGCGCTCAAATCTTTTTTAGAATAATTGATTCGTGATAATATGAAGTTATTATCAGAACTATATTTGATAACTTTTAAAAATAACTAATTAATTGATAATTAGTAAAACTGCTATAGAATCCTAATTATTATTGATTAAATCTATTAGATTCAAAACATTTGCTGTTAAACTGAATGAAATTATGAGAAATTTAATATAATTTTTTTTTTTTTTTTTGCTCATTAAATCATTAAATGATCAATGCCGCATTCTTTAAAAGCATTAATTGATTCAACTGATTTAATCAATATTATCAAATCAGTGTAAATAATTTACCAATATTATCATATCACAATATCAATGTAATTTAAGTAGATTAAGGATATTAAATGTTAAATTATTTTTATAATATCAATATTCTATCAGTTATAATCAGTGTGACATTTTTGTGACAATTTCTCCTTTCCTAAATTCATTTGCATTCAAATGAAAGCACTTTTAATGATTTGTTAATTTATCAATTTTTTTTTTCTTAAACGCTCTTACGCTGATCACACAGCTAATTGATAAATAACACATTTCAATTGTTTAGCTGATAAGATATATCAAAATGAACTTTTATAAGATTGATCTGAACATCTTAGCTAAATCATTCATTTATTTTCAAATTAATTTTTATTATCATAAACAACCAACAATTTAATTCTATTAATTTCATTCTTTGTCTTTCACAGTTTTTTTCCTAAAATTTAATCATTTCCCATCCATTAAATCAATTAATCTATTTGATAATAATAAATCAATCTTATGTGCAACAAATAATTCTTTTTTTTTTTTTATCTCATAAATCGATTTGAAAATTGATTTATTATTATCAGTGTGTTTCAATCAGTTACAAAAGTGACAAAAAATATTCACAAACATTTCAAATTTTTCCGACTTAAAATTTTCAAAATAATTTTTATCACTTGTGCTTAATTTAAAAAAAAAAAAAAAAAAAAAAAACTTATTTTCTTACATATTTTATCAATTCATAAAATTTCAAATTTTCATAAGAACTTTTTTTTTGAAAAAGAAAGAAAAGAAGATGTATAACTGTATTATAATGTAATTTCATATCACAAAAATTATCCTATTATAATGAAAAAATCAAATGAAATAATATATCATTGACATATAAATAGCAAACAAAATTAATTATCATATTAAATTAAAATTTGAAATTAGGAAAAAGAGAACAATTCATTTTATTAGTTATGTCACATTACTTTTATACAATTATTTCAATCAATACAAAAGTTTTTTTAGTTTGATTCCATTTCAATCAACATATATAATAGTTTGATTCCATTTCAACATATATCATATTCGATACATTTATTTATTTTATAATTATTATACTTCCCAGAACAATTTTCCCAAAAAAACTTCAGCTAGAAAATCAAAATTTATTACTTTTTCTAAAATATTTGAGCTATTATACAAGATAAACAATATTACATTCCAAATATTCTAAATTAAATAATACCAAATAGATATCCTTAAACATGCTAGAATTCCACATGCTAGAATAAATTTAAATAAAGCATAACCATTTAAATATCACCAAAAAAAAAAGTATAGTAATTTAAGTAGACAAATTTTGAAAAAAAAAAAGAAAAAAAAGGTATGACATATATTAGTAGTTAAATTTGAAAGGTAGCAATAATAACAATAACAGTAACAATATTTACCAAATTCTTTGAAACTTTAAAAGAAAATTAGTTTTTCTTAAAAGAAAAAATTTTTTCAATTTCATTAATTTTATTACTTTTTCTAAAATATTTGAGCTATTATACAAGATAAACAATATTACATTCCAAATATTCTAAATTAAATAATACCAAATAAATATCCTTAAACATGCTAGAATTCCACATGCTAGAATAAATTTAAATAAAGCATAACCATTTAAATATCACCAAAAAAAAAAGTATAGTAATTTAAGTAGACAAATTTTGAAAAAAAAAAAAGAAAAAAAAAGGTATGACATATATTAGTAGTTAAATTTGAAAGGTAGCAATAATAACAATAACAGTAACAATATTTACCAAATTCTTTGAAACTTTAAAAGAAAATTAGTTTTTCTTAAAAAGAAAAAATATTTTTCAATTTCATTAATTTCATCATTTTTAAATGAATATTTTTTGTTTCGCTGATTTTTTTTAACTAATCTAATTTAGGTACTAAATAGTTTAATTGATTCTTTTATTCTATATTATATTGCAACTAAAAAATAAAAAATTATTTCATAATTTAATTTAATCACTGAGTTATTCAATTTATTATCATCAAAACAGATAGCAAACATGATTTTTTTTTTTGTAATTTTAGGTTTTTTTTTCTTTTTTCTTTCCTATCATATTTTTTTGTTCTCATTTTTTTTTTTTTTTTTTTGTTAAGCAAGAAAAAAAGACATAAAAATTCAATGAAATACCATACGGAAATTACATTTAAAAAAAAAAATTATTGATCATAAAACTTTCAATAGCCTTTGCAATTTTAACTTTTTATTTTGTTTTTGTCCTTTTATCTCTTTCTTTTCTGGTCGTTTTAATTCTAGAAAAATTCATTCAGAAATTTATTCAGCCCTCATCGCTCCGCTACCACCCCCGCGCCTACAGGCCACGCCTTCGTCGCCCCGCC